GTGCGGATCAGGCTTTGGCTAGCCAAAGGCTCCGGTTGTGGATTCCCCAAGAAAATCCACCTGATTTGGCCTGGGCACCCTGGCAGTAATCAGCCCGCATACAAATCATGGAGCTTTTTTAAAATAAAGTTTATTGTACCGCCGTTTGTTCGTCACAGTCTGAACTCAGACGTTTGTGAAGAAGTATAATGAGAAAGCTCCGTGGTTAACTGGTGGATGCGAAACTGCGTAGTTAACCACGCCAAACCAGATGAATTTTCTTGGGGGATTCACAACCGGATATTTAGACCAGCCCAAGTCTGATATGCAAAGCGGCGGGGCAGTATGTAAAAACCGTAATCCATTTCGGGTCGGCGTCCACTTCATCTGATCACGCACCTACTTGACGGGATAATACGTCCAAGTTGCCCGGTACATCCTGACACCCAGTCGATTCGGTGACCACAGCCAGGAGAGTTTCGTATGTCTCTTGTTAGTTGGTTTGTAATCAAGGTTTTTGGCCTAATCCGCTGGATGTAATGCTAGTGGTTCACCGACTCAAATGTTGGCTTTTCCTCCTCTTATTCTAGTGGATAAACATCTATGCTAAGGAAAGGCAACGAGTTGGGCTTCCTCGACAGAGAATGTTAGAGACGATTAGTCCTATAGGAGCATTTCGCGAGATGCAAGGGAAGAGTGGCCAGCCACAACCCGAAATACCCACCCCCGACCGTACCGAGACTTGTGGAAGCGGGAATTCATGTTGAAACTTTCGTAATACAGCCGATCGGAGTGACCAAGCACCGTGACTATTCACCTGAGAACCAAATGTGCGTCGGTGCAGACAGGAATAGGCCAATTAATCGCAAAGTTCATAGACGATGTTTGGAGGAATGAAAGACGAATGTGCACATAGGTGACAGCAATCCCTCGACGATGTCGGAGGATTAGGTGTGGGGTTTCAAAGTAAAAAACATATGGTGGTACCAAGAAGCCGCGCATAGCATTCCTGACGGAATGGTACCGGTGAAACGATCTATCACCAAGGTTTACTGGTGACCGCCATATCCGAAGGTTGCGCACTGCATCTGTGATGATATTCTGTGACATCAAAATCGGGCTATTTTTTTTATTCCAGTAGCAGTATAGCCCTAATACACCCACTTTTCTTATATAGTTTTTCAGCAGTTCTCGTTAAGTTAACTTGGTAGCTCTCCTCACTACTGCTTAGCTTTTTGATCGCTTTGAAGCGATGCAGTCCAACACGGAGACCTGTGTAATCCATCCGATGAGGTGGAATATATATATATATATATATATATATATATAACACCGNGCCAACACCATCACCAATCACGTCACATTGTATCATTTATTGGCAGTGCATTCATAAACACGCATGGCTTCTTGGCAAAACACCGTTACTTTCCTCGAACTGTTTGACTGTGTAATGAGTAAATTCATTCCGCAAAGTACGAGGGTTGAGAAGAAAGTTTACGGGTACTCAGTACACGAGTACGAGGTGTCAATAACCGGGAAAGAAAAGCATGAACTGTTATCTGGTGTGAATATTGTTAATTGATTGAAACTCACAGAGCCAAATATGAACACAGCTCACAAATCACAAGGGTCGCTATATACTCGGATTACAAGGATGGAATTCAGTCGATATCACTTGAGGACGATGATTTTCCATGACTACAAATGCGGTTTCAAGCAGCAACATTGTGTTAGTCGTTTGTGAGCTGCTTTTGGTGATGACATCGCGTTCCCAAGGGTCAAGCGCATGATGCGTGGAATCCGAGTCACCAACAGTTGTAATGGAAGTCTTCATTGAACTGGTCGAAGAGTTACCCGCTGCGGCATGTTAGAGCCGTTTCACCAAATGGATTGAGCGCATGGAACTGTGCATGAACGCTGATGGAGAATACTTCGAGAAAATGTAATGCTTATTTTTGTTTCATGTGGTTAATGAAGAATTTGATGAAATTTCAAAGGCGAAATTTGTCGTGTATATAGCAAATGAAGCGTGAACTGAAAAACTAGGAAGCACTGTACAACAGCTGTTTCGATCTGGTTGGATCTCGTCAGTAATGCGAGATGAGCGAGGTCTCTCAAAGATGGGTTGTGATATATCGTGTAGATGGAAAACGAAAATATATCTGATTATGTGACCGGTGGCCGAGTGAGTGGAGTGCTTGCGACCTACCTGTGAGGTCCCGGGTTCATTTCCCAGCTGAGTCGATCGATTTGCACTGCTGATGAAACTCTACCAGGTCGAAAGAGCTGTCCAGTGCTCCCTAGCTTTTCAGTTCACGTTTCATTTGCTATATACACGACGAATTTCCCCTCTGAAGCTTATTTTTGTGTGACGCATAAAACTTTTTTTCTCAGTTTTCGTACATCACGCCGACGGAGCGTTTTTTCCGTGTTCTCTACAAAATGAGCATGTTTCCATTCGATTTGTACTTAAAAGTAATCAGATTTAATCATGCATCAACAGTAATTGGTTTCATATGTTCACTGCTTGAGCGTAATGAACAGGTACTACAGTCACTAGGATCTCTGCATTCCCCCGGTCGATGTAACTGTCCATCCAATAACGCGGTTAACACGTTTTGCTTCATTTACTCTTACGGGTTTATTCATAGAGAAGATTGAATACTCATTTCTGATTTCACAGATCCCACCGGGAGCTGATGCCAACCGTTCCCGAAACAACAAATTACCCAGAATATATGAATTGATGATGCAGAAAGTTATGCACCGAGTCGGTCCAACTGGCATTGGTCGAAAACGATTGAACAAAATACGACTGAGCCAGAGAGAAAACAAGTATTCTGAGGCAGCAAGATTATCAACTCCGAACGGACGTCTCACCATGTATCGGCAGCTGATTCGTGGCAAATCGTCATTGTACAATCACGATTGGTGACTAAAATTCAGCCTTCCAATAAAACTTTGTAGATCATCCTAATTGATGTTTTTACCTTCTTGAAGAGAGCCTTCAACGGACAACTATTCATTGAAACACTGTCGAATCTCTTCTGTGCGGATTGATAGAGGTATTCCTTTATCCCAAGTGTTTCATCACCGTGTGAGCTGAATTAAGGCTCTTGACACTAGTATTTGTCTTTGACAGTGGAGTTGAACTGAGTTGCCTTTTGTATTCTTTTCCCATGAATTCTACCACCACCATCTCACCACGGGGCGCACATTTGGTAGTGTGAATAGGTTTTTCCAACAATCCAGACCGATATCTACACAGGCGATCCAATTGAAGAACAAAACAGTCCACGTAAGGCAGTTTTGTACGTGTATCGTAGTTAGCAGTTGGTCAGCGAAGTGCAGAGGTGAACTTCATTGATTACTACCGAGTTCGCATTGTGCCAAGCGTAAAATGGGTATGCTTTGAAGGATCCGATCGCTATAATCATGGTTACACTGCACATATCCTAGCCAGAGGGGCTAACATATCCGAATTCTTTTGACAATTTATTCTTCAGCCTTCATTTTGCTAATACATTTCCATATTTCACATCCGTCTGACTCTGTGCCTAATATAAATCATGGTACAAGGTTGCTAAACCGATCACTTAATCGCACCGGAACAAACACATAAACATCAACGATGATCGATGTCTTCCATGCGCAAATTTTGGAAACCGAACTGATCGCGCGGTAAATGCGGTCTGGAAACTTGAACCTAACGTTACAGCCACATCAACATTATTTCCGTACAGCGAATAAAAATTCAGCTTTCATTAAGCAAGTAGTCACCCCTTTTTACCCCGCTGATCCTCATTTACGAGAAGCAATCGACCATTGAACTTCACAGCAGAAGTGGCCAATATCCAGTCTCATGGCATCACTGCACTTTGAAGGTGGACAGTGACTAACGAAATAAACAGCAGCTTTTGTGATCATGCTGAAATACGTATCAGCAATCCCTAGGAAGGGAGCGGTGATGAGGAACGAAATGGAGCCTTATGTTCAACGGAGTTACGTCCGAGGGACACTAATCCCTAACCGATGGTGTGATGTAACTCGGGGAAATGTCGCATAATGTATTGATCAAATTATACAACCACAACCTAGTCACTGATACTTGATTCTTTCAGTGGCTTCGGGTGAGGAGGGATCAATTTTGCTCACATTTTGAAACACTGAAGATAGGATGCCATGATTGTGTACATTGCAAAGTAGTGACACAACTTTCTTAAGTCATGGATTTGCAATTTTTTGTTTCCATTACACTGAATATAGGAAGAATTGCTGTTTGGAATAAAATAGCATGATTGCTACCTGTAAATAAATGAGGTCAATCTAATTCTAAAACATGTTTAAGTGAGCACCAAAATATACGGTGTTCGTCACAAAAGAGAATGCAGGATTACTGAAACGCATTGATGTTACTATGATCCCAATTCTCGTGTATTCTTTCGTGTACTATGGGATGCCTGTCTCAGATTTTCAAATTTTTTCGGTCGTCGGGCTCTCCTTTCAATGGTCTGCTTTTTATTGAGCTACCGAGTAGAGAACACTTTCTTGGGTCATTGAATTCCAGGTTCGAATGGGCTTGAGGAGATTCAAGCGATGAAAATGTCTCTTCGGCCGCAGCCTAATGGTTTGGCTGAACACAGGTGACAATGGATATCTTTAGTGCTTTACTGCTTGCACCGATTTGATAGAACAAGACATTAATTATTCTACAAGCAATGGTCAATAACAACGAGTCTGCGAGCCAATGAAATATGTGTTTATTACCTTCTTTGAATGATTCACAGACAGCTCACTGGAGCAGATTAAAAACCGCGACTACAAAGAAAGAAAACAAGTGGAGAGAAAATATGCATGGTTTCTTATTCACGATCACCACATGTGTATGAGGGAATTAATGAAGGAACAAAGCCAAACAACCCCGGTAAGTTAGTGTTGATAAGTTAGCTGACTTCTGAACATCTCCTTGAACCTGAAGCCATAAAATACGAGAATGTGATCAGACAGTTGGTTGAGATTCATCACTTCAGACGCGCTTGAAGGCTTTCGAAGTTTTGCTTGACCGTCTGCATATTCTCATCCAAACTTTGTTGAACCTGAAATAGAGGGAATTTAGAGCACTTGGAAAATCCCTCCAAAAAATTTACCTCCTGCAATAGCTTCGAGTATGTTTTCAGATTCTCCTCCACATTCTTCTGTCCACTCTCGACCGCGTTAAGCATGTTGCTAAAGTCGGATGCTTGAGAGAAGGTAGATAAAGCGTGTGTGTGGGGGAGAGCAGGGTAATCAAGAACAGGTACGACAATAAAATGAAGGTAATTCCAAAAATAAGATAACAAAAACTCAAAGTTACATGAATCCGTTGGGATGCTTTTCACTCTTGCAGCTCATGTTTGATGAAAGGCGACTAACCCATTGGGTGCACAAACATACACTTAGTTCCCGTTGGGTTCCTGAATGGATTGGATCTTAGTCTGCTATACTTCATGATAATTCCTTCGTATATCAGCATAATAATAATAATGAATCGAGCGACACAGTTTATCACAGCTGGGAAGATGTATGCAGTCACGCTATAAAAGTACACCTTTCAACTTGGACGCAGGGTGCCTCATTACAATTAACAGATTTCCACGGATGGCACGGTGGATGCGGATTGGATCGACTTCGAATGGGATACAGAGAGGGAAGCAATCTACCTTCCACTGCAATTAAACTTTTCTGCACTATGTCAGCTAGGCGAATGACAAAGATCAAACAGCAGTGCTTTGACACAAGCGATTTGGCATTTATTACAACCAGATGGAAAAATCACAATACAGTTGACTGCTATTCGAGTTAGCAAACAATGAGTACAGAAAAAAGATACGAAAATAATATGTGAATGGCAGTCATTTTATGTTTATGTGGTTCACACCTTTGCTGTGCATTGTGCTTATCGGAAGAAGAAAGACAAATGTTCATTGTCCTGAGAACTGGGACACAAGTAGTACTGGTGTGCAGAAAACAAAGAAAAAAACACCTTGGAATGGAACTGGTGCTGATTGAATCACACAGGACGCGATATTCCGTGTCACTAATCGAAAAAGCCAGTGTGGGGCACAATGAGGCACTCAGAAATATTTCACCCTATCTCCTCAGGCAAACATTGCTGTCAACGATGTGTGATGAAAAATATAAGTTGCTATTACCATTGGTGAGATGTTACAATTCCTAACAAGGCTGAGCGAGATCGGCCAGCGTAGTTCATGTTTATTTTCTAACAATGGCCTCTGCAAACTGGAGCGACCGGGAGTTCCGGTTGAGAATGACATATACACAAGAACGTTGTTGTTGTTCTTAAGGTTCTATTCAACTGATCAGAACAAATAGGGCCAATTCTGTTGTGCAAACAGAATTACTTTTCAAGGCTAATATTTCCGAAAAATAAATGACGCAGTCATCGGCGGTCTCTGAAGTTCTCTTCCGGCAGATGTATTTAGGGGCAAGCCTGGAATGCTTATCAGAACAGATTCGACGTCCAAAGCGCTGAGTTCATTTTATAGCCTCGAAAGTGATCACCCAGAACCCAACCATCAAGCCTGAAAACGATGGCATCTTATTCTTCCTGGTTGCAAAAATGTGGCAGAGATGGCAGCCGAACTGTTTATCAAAATCAAATGGATAGATCAATATCTGCATGTAGGCAACCTCCCCACCCCCCATTTGGTGCAAACGAGGGACTAGTGCGCAGACATTATGACCGTGCAAAGAATATATTTACACCTGACAGTCTCAAGGAGATGCTACCATGAGAACGGTTACCCGAATTCGTTCGTTCGAAGTAAACGTCTTCTCTTTTTTATCTATTGAATTTGCAAAGGTACGGTCAGCATTCAGGAAGGGGGCTGCGACCATACAAAGAGTGCCAGGGGGAAATACAGGAATAGGGAACACGGGCGATGGTGGAGCACTATGTCCGAAAGTACAACAACAGACACTCGCATCAACGTGTGCGGCAGTTCTACAATTCCTGTTCTAGGTTAATATGAGTAAGTTCCGAGGATATCCCTTAGGCTTAATCATCAGATGTTTATGCAACACAATGGAACCAGTCTTCGTCGACTTGCTCCAACAGCCAAGCAATCGTTTTTGCAGAAGGCCGAATCACAGAACTAATACAAATTTGTTTGTGAATGCTCGAACACTTACCAAGTAAAGCTGACCACTTGAGACACCTGTGGCGCCGCCGTGACATCGGGCTGTTCGTGAGGAGTCCAGTGTATCCTATTTCGCCCGTTCGCTGAGCTTGGAAATTTGTTA